AATAGTGTTAATAAACATTTTGTACAAAATATTGAAGAAACATTACGTATGCAAGCATTAAATCGTACTCGTGGTAAAAGATCATTGAATAATGATGAAGGTTTGTGGTAGAAATTTTTGTTTTAAATTGAATTCCTTATATGATTTATTTTATTATAGATCCGGTTGAAAATCGACGAATACGACCTGATTCGAATGGTTTTTCAAATGAAACAAACAATGTTGACAATCAAGATACTGATAATAATATACAGGAAATTGAATTAATCATTAAACCATTACCACAAGTTGAACGAAGAGTAAATTTTCAGTTTTGTTTTTTACTTCTCATTTTAATTGCTATTTTTTTCAAATATAGGATCCATCATTGAATCAAACAAGATTTATGAAAACAACAACAAAAGCAACAATCAATCATATTGCAAAATATTTAAAAATGCGTTATAATTTTGAATCATCTGAAGATGATTGTACACGTAATAATAATGATAATGATGACGATAATGATAATGATGTTGTTGATAACAAAGATACAAATGTAACAAAATCTGTTGATAAATCAATGAATAATAATTCAAAAATGAATGATACAAATCAATCAACATCAAATTCATCGACAACATCATCATCGGCATTTCCATTTACATTATATATAGCAGCAGGACCTGGACAATATAATCCATTACAAGGATCAATAACATTAGCACAAGTTGATGAACAATATTGGAAAATAAATAAACCATTAGAATTATTTTATGCATATAAAGTTAATCCAACATCATGAACATTTCATTTCATTTCATTCATTCAGTATTTATTTTGTAAGCATCATTGTGTTGTAATTTTGCCCTAAAAGCAATTTTTACAAAAACAAAACAAAAAAATAATAATAATTTTAATTTCATATCATCAGTGTAACATCAATATTTTTTTCATTTTGTTACCAAAAAATTCATAATAAAAAAATGATTTTTTTTTCTAAAGAATTTCAAATTTTTGTTTTTCCATATTGATGATTTTCGGGTTTTCTTTTGTTCCGAACATTAAAATTCATCAATCATAGCGATCACCATATAAAATAGTTGTGAACAAAACCTTTTTCAAGCTCCCGGTTATGAAATGAATCCTATGGTTATTTTCGGTGTATAGATTTGCGACAACAACAACAACACAGAAAGATATCAAACATTACCATTTTTCACATTCATTCATTCATTGACAAACAAACAAAAATGATAATATTTATTCAGAACTAACAAAAGAAAACAAATAATGAAAAATCAATGAATGGGACAATTCTGTTATCATGTTTTTCTCTTTTCTACAATTTACATTCATCATCAATGTGATTTCATTTCAGCGTTTTTTTTCAACGTTTGATTTGAAAGCAGAACAAATTCTTTCATTTTTTATTTTTTAGTTTGTTTTTTTTTTTGTGTTTGCTTTAACGGACGATGATTCTCGTTTTGGGTTCCTATACAAACGTGCCCTGCAAACATCTTTTTTTTCAGATGAAAATGATAAAAAATGTAATTTTTTTTCAATGGAAAAAAAACAACAAGAAGAAAATTAGACTTTTTCGCTGTTGTTGTTGTTGATCCCCATTCAAAATATAGTTTTTCATTTTCTCCTACATAGTATTTATAGAACCAACTCTATCATTTTTTTTTCAATTTTATTCTTGAATTGTTTCAAATTCCCATTGCTGTTTTTGTTTGTTTGTTTGTTTGTTTGGGGTTAGTAGGTGATCCAGTGTTGTTTTTTTTGTCATGAAATTATATCCCAACAAAAAACCGAAGAAACGAAAAAATTAATTTGACAGGAAACATGAAGCAGCAAATCTCAATCATCGTTGTTGTTTTTGTGTGTGACATTTTCACAATCTTTTCCTTTTTATTCTGTAGAAAATGGATAATGTTTTGTTTTCCTCGCTGTAAACAATGAGAATAAATTCGCTCGTGTCTTATGAATAAAGAAAGAATCTATCATTTTTTTCTATGTTGAGATGCTGTTTGCGAATATTTAAAGCTATGTTTTATTTTAAAGTTTTTTAGTGAGAAAAGAAAATTCTGTTGAATATTCTGTGTGTATGTATGCATGAATAAGTTTTTTTTTGTTTTTGTTGGATCGTAGTTTGTTTGTTGTTCATGTTGTTGTTTCACTGGGAATAAAACAAAATTATTATTGATGATGACAGTGAAAAACGAAAACAAAACAGAAAAACAACAAAAATATTGATTGAGATGGATGTGTGTCGAGTGTATACAATATAGGACAATATTCATTCATTTTTAGTGGATTTTGTTCGTAAATTTTCTTTTTTTTTCTGTAAAATTGAAATTGAAATGAATTTTCACAGACAAACAAAACCTTATTCCATATTCACTGATGATGATGGCGGTGGTGATGATGGTGGCCATCTAGCATCCATCATAAAACAAAAAAAAAATTAATTACATTATTGAATTGAAATGATACTGGCTAGGTCAACAACAACAACGAAAAAAAATTGACTGAAAATATCATTAAGTTTGAGCTTTCTTTCTTTCACCACCCCCAACAAACCCTAATACATTTAGTTTCTATTATCATGATTATAATCGGGAAAACCAAAAGAAGCCAAAAACCAAAAGCAAAAACAGAAAATGATGATGAAGACACACACACACACACTATATTCATAAATTCTTTCCTCACTTCATCATCATCATCATCATCATCAAACAAATGGGTAGCCAACGGAACAAACAAAACAAAAAATCATAATTTGATACTTGAAAATAATTTGTAACATGAGAACTTCGTTCTTCTCTTCCGATTCTATTATTTAATGATTCTGCATTCAATTCTGTCTCCTTTTCATCATCAGAATTTGACATTCAGAAAGAAAAAAAATTGAAAAAAAACAAAAAATAATGAATCAAAATGATGATAACATTATCAAACGAAAAGAAAAAATGGATTTTATCACATTGTAATTCACTACTTATATATTTTTTCTGCTTTCTTCTTCCTATTTGCTCTTTTTCACTATTTTGTCATTTTGTCAAACTATTAAGAGGCTTTTATTGCTCGATGACGAGTAGTTTTTTGTTAGTTTCATTCGTTGTGTTGTGTGTGTAAAATGAAATTGGAAAGCAGAATCAGAATCAAAAAAATTGGTAACAACCAAAAAAAAAAGAATCATAAGAATCTTACAACAGTAGCACGAAAAACTAAAGAATTGCGTGCGATTTTAGCATCCTACGTCCATTTCATTTTTTTTCATTGAATTATAATAATAAAGTTCAATAAAGAATATTTTTTAAATGTAAAGAATGCGTGTGTCTGTGTGTGTCTATGGACAAATGAAAACCAATGTTGAAACAAAAAAAAGAAAAAAGAAAAAGAATCCAATCGGTAGATCAAATTATTTACTTTACTTTACTTTAACAATGTTATTATTCTTTTTTCATTCTTTTCTCACACGAAAAGAATGAATGAATTCCAACAGTGATTGAAAATGAAGGATAACAACAAGGCAACGATTCTGTTGCGAAAAAAAATCTAATTCTTAATAAGAATTTGATTGCTTCGAAGAGAGAGAGAGAGAGAGAAATTTTGATGAAAATGCAAATCGTTTGACATAGGTGTATTTCGTGTGTTTGATCCATTGTCATTCTTCGTCGATGTTGAATTTACACCAATCGAATTGATTAGAATTTCCTGAAATTTTTTTTTCTTTCCTTCTGAATTCAGCTTTTCCAAACAAAACAAAAAAAATCATTTGGGAAATGATTTTTTTTTCTTCTTTCTTCGTTGCAACGATGAATAAATTGATTTTTTCCCTGTTTTTGGATGATAGCAAAATCAGATTGCAATCATACAAACAAAAAAAAAAAAAAAAAGACAAACAAAATATTCTGTCGAATTGATAATAACCAAATATCAATCGAAAGAATCATTTTTTTTGTTACCTTGCCAAATAATTGATTTTTTTTCAAAAAATTATAGCTGGAATCAAACGCTACAAAATCATAATTTTTGTTGGATACAAAAAAAAATGGATGTTTTGATTTTCCTGTAAAATTTTCGTCCAAAAATGACCACAGAAATCTAATTTTTTTGAAGTGAAAAAAATGAAATCATCTGACTTCCGTCAAACAACACACTATGTCTATTCTGTATTTCAAAATGTTTTCTTTTTTTGGTTGAAAAAAAATATGTTTGAAATATTCCGGTTCATTCAACACATTCAGTTTGAATATTTTTTTTTGGTTAATTTCAAACAATTTTTTCTTCAAGTTTACATTTCACTTTGGTTTTTTCTCACTACCAATATCATTTTCTGTCGTTGATAATGTTTGATTCATTTCGTTCGAAAAAAAAAGAAAACTGTATCAAAAAAAGTAAGCAAACATTTACAATGTAAAAAAGAAAGAAAAAAACTTTATTTCTTAGTTAGTTAGTTTCAGTTTCATTTCAGTTTCGTTTCGTTTCGTTTTTTCTGGAACCTAATGTGTATATCTTTCATTTGCTTTTCAATTGGAAACATTTTTTTTTTGGATGGATATATAGTGTTCGCTTCGCTTTTCCCTCAGATCTTTTTATTCATTTGTCACTGTACAAACATACATATATTGGTTTGTTCATTGACATCATCATATATGGCTCTGATTATTATCATAAACATCATTTCTGGTTTATGTACATACATCAAAACCGAAAAACCAATTCCCAATCCCCCTTTACGAATATATGTTTGAATTTGAATTCAAATTTAAACAAACATATTTTTCGATCATGATAAGGGCCAAAAAAAAAAAGAAGAAATTCTATGTGTGTGTGTACCGTATGACCAGAAATGAAAATGAAATTGAAAATTTTCGATTTTTTTTTTGTTTGTTTGTTTGAATCAGAGAAGAAGAAGAAAAAAAAACTTGGAAAAACAAATTCAATTTGGTCAAGCTTTCAAAATTATAGTTGAAAACAACAAGCAACAAAGAATGCAGGTAACCAAAATAATGATTTGACATTTAAAATATAAAGTGAAACAAAAGAAGAAGATTTCATTAGGAAAAAACTAAGATACGGTAAAAGTATGATAACAAATGATGATGGTTGAGAAAAACATTATTATTATTATTATTATTATTATGACATTTGAGATCTTCTTCTTGTCGATTTTATTTTTTCAGAAAGATTTTCCTATCTTTCTTTCTCTCATCTTTTATCATAATTTCTGAGCTGAAGATTTTTGTTTTTCGTTTTGCTTTTTTATTATCCTTGTCGAATGATAATACCAAGAGAGAGAGAGAGAGAGAGAGAGAGAGAGAGAGAGGGGTGGAAGCAAATTTTTTACTTTTTCTTCTTTTCTCTGCGATCTTCTTTTGTTAAATTTTCTTTTCTTTTTTCATTCGATTCTGATTCTGGGGTACCATGGGAGATTTAACGGACACGAAACAAGAATAACATGGTTTCTCTCTCTCTCTCTCTCTCTCTCTCTCTCTCTCTCTCTCTTCGTTTCATTTCTGATTACAGAAAATGAAAAATTTAAATAAATAATAAATAAATAATTGAAAATAATGAATAATCGGATTAACGGATTTTTATCAGTACATTGAAACAGAATAGGGAAACGAAAGAATTTCT